AATATTCCACCCCAAGAAGCTAGATGTAGGCCAAGCAGACCCATCAGTCAGAAATGCTGCTTTTTCTACTTCAGATATTGTCTTCAGGAGAGAGGCACCTGTTGACTGAAGCCAGTGACACATGCCCCAATTATCAAAAACAGATACAATGTAGCAAGTGTCCTCAACATTCTAATCAACTGATGGGGGTCTTCAAGCTATAGGTCTATAGTCCACAGTATCAAGGATACGGGCAAGAGAAACCAGTGTCTTGCCTCAAATTATAAATCAGAAGAGAGAATTTCACAGCCCTCTTTTTTGTTCAAAAAAGTTGCAAAGATCAAAAATAAATCTTTACCAACCTGAATGGCATATCCCCTCTTTTCAGCGTATACTGTTTTCCCTCTGTGAGCCAGGAACAAAATGTCTGTTGACTGACAGAAGGTCTTGCTCTGAACATTTAATCACCAAAAGGGTTCTTAGAAGAGAATCATTAAAACCTGATAAAAATGAAAAGGAAGATTTCTTTTAAAATAAATAAACATTTTATCCAAATTTCCAGATATTCCCCAAAACATTTTACCAACCATTAGATGCAAATAATATTATAAAACAAGGATAGAGAACTAAAATACAATGACACCTAGGAGATGCCGTGGATTTATTGAGCTGGGTAAGAAGTTGAAACTATTGGTAAATGCCATGTGTCTGTGAGCTGTTTGAAGGTGGCTGGCATTCCAAGAAGTCCACATTACTTACCAATTAACTAAGCAGGTCAGACTGACCTCTGGGACCAAGAACCTACAGCATTATGATTTGGGGGGAGGGGATGGTACTGAACATTCTCGAACCTTTAATCAGATCTAGGGTCATATGTACTGCCTCTTTTTTGAATAGTCTTATGCCATGCCCTTCTTTACAGAGAAGAGTTACACACTGAATTTGACTGTGTGTGTATATGAGCCACCACTAAAACCACTTGTCATTAAAAAACACTAATTTGTTGCCTAACTGTGCACACTGTTGAAATAAGTGTTAATATAGCCAGTACAAACAGACTTGTATCCAGCTCTTAGGAGCTCACAGTCAAAAACCTGTGGACCCATTGATATGGAACCACACTTACACAGCACATAGAAAGCAATGGTAATGAATTGTATTTTCAAATGAAATGACAATTTCTGATCAATAGAAAAAAAATAATAAGTAAATTCAAAAACAAACCACAAAATAATTTCAAGTCCATTTAGCTTTGTAACTGAAGCTTGGATTTTGGGCTTTTTAAAAAGTCCAACAATAGCTTTCAAATATTCTAATGTTTAAAATAACAAAACATATAATGTATTTTTAAAAAGCAGATAAATATCCATGGTTTCTCTAATTCTTCTTCTTTCCAAGGTTATTTTCAAAATAATTCAACTCAATTCAAGTCCTTGGCTTTGGGGAGGTGAGGTAGGTACTAAAATGACCCATCAAATCTGCTGCTTTCACAAACCTTTGTGGGCCTCTCCTACTCAAAGCAAGGAGGTCAGATACTGTACCAAAAGTCCATAACAAGAAAAAGTAAATGGCTCTCTGTTCATTTGACAATGCTTCTTTAGTTAGATTAGCTAAAGCCTTATTTAGAAGAAGTACTTAAAAGAAGGGTACATTTTAATCTGTGCATCCAACTTCCAAAAAGATAAAAGAAAGAATAAGTCTGGCTGCACTGACATCAGGATAGTCTAAAGACAAAGTTAAGGAAGAAAAGACACAAAGGATTAAGTGAATAAGATATTATAATCAAGTTAAATGTAAAAACAAAAATATTAAGAGAAAGAAGGGGCAAAATAATTTTCAGAATGATTATACCGTGTTAGCTATAACATCAGAAACATTGTTTTGGATTCTTTTTTTTTTAATGGAG